TCAATATCAATCGTTGTTTTTGACGACCGTGTTCGCATACCTCTTTTCCGCATATCTCTTCCGGTCTCCCTCCCCCCCCCCCGCCCCTCGTCTCTCTCCTTTTTTCTCTCTCTGATTCTCTGTCTCTGTCTCTATCTCTTTCCTTCGCTACGTGCCTACATTCTGACTGTTTCCATCTGATACTCTGAGTGTTGCTATTGTTTTTTTTCTTTTTTTCTTCCTGCGGCTCTCCTTCGGAATATGTATTATAGCGTCTTCTCAGGTATAATACCACCTCCCCTGAAGTACGATCCCCAAATAGATCCATCCCAAATCCCCCCGTGGCTACCTGCGACGGAGGGGAGGCTGTCCAAGTCACGATGTATGCATGTCTATCTGCACTTCTCAGACCCGCTGAGAAACTCCGATTTTCGCTTGCAACTTGTTCCCACATGTACCTTTGCAATAGCGAAACACATTGAGTTGATTGGAAACGATTCACATTAAGAGAAAGGTTTGCTCATGGCGGCAGTTGTTTCTCGTCGGCGAACGACGCTGGCGAGACGTTTCCCCCCCTAATCTCGTGGAAGCCCTGATTCGAGGGCCCAGTCGCTGGCGCGTTGGAAAAGTCGGCCTCCTTAACCGCTGTCGCCATGGTGAATTTCATTTCTCCTTACACATCGCCTCTGCCGCTGGTTAGTTCCAGAGCGAACGGGCGTGATGGAACCTCCCTCAAACGCCAAAGACATTTTCAAACCTAATAACCCGTCGTTGGTGAGGACATCGTCACAATCGGCTGAGTGTGCATCGCCCAATCCCTTCGGTCGGTTGTCTCTCATACCCGGGTTGCAAGTCCCCACAAAAAGCGATTATTGTTTTTTACTGCGACGAGGCATCGATCACGCGGAGCCCCTACGGCGGCCGGATTCCTGTGGGACAGGCCGTTGTTCGTCAACAACTCCGGCTGTAGTGGCGATCTAAAATGTTGCTAACCTTCTAAAGTAATCCTAGGCGTGTCTCTACGGCGTGGTGCCATAATAAAATTGGACTGGACCGTTTTTTGAACGTGTATACACAGAACGTTGACGGTCAAGTTTCGGTGGAACTTGGCTGAGAATCCGAAAAAAATTGGAGGTAGACATGTGGGTCGTGTTTGGTCGATAAATAGGCGATAGAGTGGGCTAGAGTGCTTCACTGGAACAACCCTCGTAGTGGCGATCCAAAATTGTGTCAACCCCTCAATGCTACCTGTGTCGATGTAATCCACTCTGGCGAAAGTCTCGAGCGAGTTCGCCAACTCCTTCGCAGGTGTACAGCAGCGTGAAGTGTGATGCTGACAGCTGTGGAACGGGCTTGAAGCAGGAGCTCTGTCACTTTTGATCGCACGGTATTGGCCAGGTTTAGAGCGAAACCAGGGCAAACCAAACGTCTGCGTGTAGAACATGACATGCTTGAGGTATCCTGCAGGTTTCATGGCACGTAGTCATCTGTGTGAGGAGCACCAGCAATGACAAAGATGTGCACCAGATGCTGCCACAGGGCAACCCATCATGGGGGCTCAAGCGGGGTACCATCGATTTTCGCGGAGCCCCTTTGTCATATTTGTTGTGCTTTTTGTGGGACTTGCAACCCGGGTCAACCCTCCC